TGATAATATTTACAAGCTTTCCTCAGGCAAAGTTCCAGTGAAAAAAATGAGAATTTAAAGATTCTGAATACCCTGGGATATCTGAGTCTTCACATCTGTTGTTGTTGTTGTTGTTTGTTTTGTTTTTAAATTACAATAACCCTGTGTGATGGGACCCATCAGGACTAGTGTATTGTAGCCATTATTTCTAATTGGAATAAGACAGCATGGCCCTCGAAAATGTGTGCATATCAAACCTTAGACTGGGGAAAGGTAGGTGTTAGCTGGAGAAGGTCTTAGAGATTGTTCTGATAGACTTTTGTGTGGAGTCATATCTCATCCTTTCCAGTTGAGAACCATTTCCCTGGGCTTGGAGCCTTACGAAGACATATATTCCCTAGAGCACCTGGGTGGTTCAGTAGGTTAAGCATTATCCCTGGAATCAGGGTCATCATCCCTGGGATCAAGACCAGAATCAGGCTCCTTGCTCAGTGGGGGTCTGCTTCTCCCTCTGCCTCTGCCTGCCACTCCCCATGCTTGAGCTCTGTCTCTCTCTTTCTCTGTCCAGTAAATAAACAAAATCTTTTTTTAAAAATATTTAATTTATTTATTTGACAGACAGAGATCACAAGTAGGTGGAGAGGCAGGCAGAGAGAGAAGAGGAAGCAGGCTCCCTGCCGAGCAGAGACCCTGATGTGGGGCTCGATCCCAGGACCCTGGGATCATGACCTGAGCTGAAGGGAGAGGCCTTAACCCACTGAGCCACGCAGGCGCCCCAATAAACAAAATCTAAAGGCGTGTCTCCCCAATTTTAATGCAGTGCCTGGCATGTAAGAGACATGTACATCTCCTTAAATGTTAGGATTTCTCGAATAAAATAATTAAAATAATTAAATTTTCATTATAATTTTCTCAGATATCAATGATTTTCAAATGTAAATGGAAATGAGACAATACTTAATGAGCATCGACGAATTCCAGTGAAGAAGCACTTTATTTAGGGGAGGAGCATTAAAAATCATCACTCCCAACCTCTTCCTACTCCAAAGCTTACCTGTTTTGTGATAAATGGGCCTATTACTTGGTATATGTACTTTCTCTGCCAAGTTGGAATTTTATAACTATTCTATAAGAATCTCCATAGCACCATTGTTCTTATCCAGAGTTTTACAACCTATTTCTGAAACCCTGTCTATAGTTAGAAAAAAAATATATTCCCTATTTCATTATCACTATTTTCTTATAATGGCATGGTATCTTTGAAAGGTAGTCTCTTTCATTAGTAGCTAATATTAATTCATTTTATTCTTTGCAAGATGTATTTAATTTTTCATTTTTCCTATGAAAACAGAATTGCAATCACAGAGTACAGTGCACCATTTCTTGTATCTCTTGGTGTTAAGCAAAAAACAATTTAAAACAAAAGAAAATTAAAACACCGATGCAGTATTCCCATTCCTATTCTCGGCTTTCTTAAATACTCCTTAAAGAAATGAGAAATCTCAGCAAGTCTCATTTCAGACATATTTAAAGTTCAAATATTATGTCATCTGTAATTTGTAAGTAAATACTCTTACCTACTAAAGCAAGACATAGATAGCTCTCACCCTGTTTATCTACCATGTTGTTCCCTATATAATGAATTTATCTAACCTGAGGTTAAATTTGCCAGAAGTTATAACTAAATGTTTGATGAATGTAGAGTTATATTTCTATCCAATTGATACAGATAATGTGGCATATATATCTTAAGTTAACACTTAAAAATTCAGGAGGGGCACCTGGGTGGCTCAGTAGGCTTAACATCTACCTTTGGCTCAGGTTATGATCTCCAGGTCCTGGGATCCAGCCCTGCATCGGGGCTCCCTGCTCAGCGGGCAGTCTGCTTCCCCCTCTCTTTCTGCCCTTCCCCAGCTTTTGTGCATGGGTTTGTGCACTCTCTCAAATAAATAAATAAATAAAATCTTTAAAAAAAAATGTCAACAAAGTATTTTACTGTAGGAAAGAGGCATGTACGCACAGTGGAAAAATTGCCAGGGTGAGAGTCAGAGTTCAAGATTTGAATTCTGATTTTTCTCTTTAGTAGTAAAATGACTTTGAGCAAATCATTTCACTTAACGAAGGGTCGGTTTCCTCTTCTGTAAAATGACAGTTTCAGATTCAAGAGATTTTTTTTTTAAGATTTTATTTATTTATTTGACACACAGAGAGCGATAGCGAGAGATAGAGCACAAGCAGAGGGAGTGGCAGGCAGGCAGGCAGGTGGGGGGAGAGGAAGAAGCAGTCTCCCTGCTGAGTGAGGAGCCCAATGTCAGACTCCATCCCAGGATCCTGGTATCATGACCCGAGCAAAAGGCAGATGCTTAACTGACTGAACCACCCAGGTGCCCCTCAAGAGAATTATTTTGAGGTTGCTGTGAGCTAATGCATGTGAGTCTTTTTTGTTTGTTTGTTTAAACTCTGAGGCAACATAAAATTTTTTATTTTTTCCTCAATGACAAATCAGAAATCATGCGTATCTTTTTTTTTTAAACTCAGAATCAAACTCTGGTTTGATCCAGAGAGGATTTTGTAGACATTCAAGTTTATCTTCCACTCTTTTAGCTTTTGATAAAAATTTAGAGAGCTCTGAAGACAAGACAAGACAAGACAAGAACCATGACCAAACTCTAGCCAGAATCCAGTTTTTTTGAGATAAATTAGAAATGTCTACAAAATACATTATTTTTATTCAATCCTTGTATCTCAGAGCTAAGCATGTCCAGCAGAAATAGACTAACTGTAGGAAATATGGTTTTTATTAGACAGTAAATATATCACCAGCAACTCTTCTGAGCCCATCATCAAAATCGTTTTTTTTCTCATTTTTAATTGGCTGAGTTAAGCGGAGCAGGTTTGCATGCACTATTACTCTCTTATGCATTTCAGCCCCGTCCTTGCCCTAAGTTATAAATGTAGCTCATAAGGAAACCTTAATAGATAAATGTGGCAAATTTGCAAACTTGCAGCCATTTAGATTCGGTTGACCCTTATATCAGTAAGAAACAAGATATTGATCATTGGGGCGCCTGGGTGGCTCAGTGGGTTAAGCCTCTGCCTTTGGCTCAGGTCATGACCTCAGGGTCTTGGGATCAAGCCCCACATCGGGCTCTCTACTCAGCGGGGAACCTGCTTCTCCCTCTCTCTCTGCCTGTCTCTCTGCCTACTTGTGATCTCTCTCTCTGTCAAATAAATAAATAAATAATCTTAAAAAAATAAAGATATTCATCGTATATCCAACCAATATTTCTTGAGATCCTATGAGTTACAATAAAAATAGCTAATATACATTGTGCTTTCTGTGTGCCAGCTTTATGAACTTTGTGTAATGTCTCCTTGAAAGGTCACTCTCAATTCATGAAATAGGTGTTATCATCTGCACCATTTTGCTAATGAAGAAATTGGGACCCAGAGAGTTTAAGTATGCTGTCCATTTTTACACGGATTGGAGGAGGTAGAGCCCAAGGTTGAAACTCTGGCCATTTGGCTCCAGTCTGCTCTTCACCACCCGGTTATGCTACTGGATGTTGAAAGCTCAATGTTAGGGGCTGAGGCTATAGCAGTGAGTGAAGCAGGCAGGATCTCTGCCTTCATCAAAAGAGACGAGTGGTACAAAGTGTAAGCAAGTGCGCCATAATTGTATAGCAGTAAGTTCCAAGGAGACAGTTAATACCATTGTCAAGTGTTGTAATGGTTGGTTTCAAACAAGGGTTTGAGGAAGCTTTTCTAACAGCTTATGACATTTTTTAAATCAGCAGAAGTTTAACTGAAGAATGTGCTGACAGAAAAATAACCACCATAATTGGAGGATAGAGCATGATAACTAAGTTTGCTTGGCATGATTGGTTCATAGACATTGCTTTTTGTCATGTAAACTTCTATCAAATGGAACGATTATTAGGTCTATGTCTTACACTGTAGTAAACTTAAGCTATTAATCTTTTAGCTAAAGCCAGAAGTAGAAGAAATTTGATTATAGTAATCTTCACGGTAAGCCTAAAATGTTGTCTTTGTCCTGAAAGCTATAGGAAATCATAGCTAGTTGTGAGTAGATTTAATCAATTAAAGAAATATTTTTAAAATACAGCTTTATTTGTATGATACGTGTGAAGGAGAAGGGCAATATGATCCATCAAAAGTTATTGCAAAAGTATGTGTGTAAAATAAAAAAGACTGTCAGTGAAAATCAAGAGGAAAGATCAGATAAAAAAGATAATAGCTTCATTATTTTGCTTGTGTAATTGTAATCTCTTAGAATCTAATAAGAGCATATTCTTATATGCAAGTATTTCAACAGATTCATGTTAAAATTTTGTTATCTTTTTATGAACTAGTGTCTCAGACTACTTGTTAAAAAAGTAGAAGTAAGAAAATAAATGCATGTGAAAGAGCTGAGGGTGTCCAGAAATCACTCCCAGGCACGTTGGTGCATTAAGAGTTAATATTACTAATTTTTAAAACTCAGCCCCCTCTTAATTCCTTCAACAATGTATTTGTGTCAATTTGCCAACAAATAAGAGAAATTTTTTTTCCTTTAATATAGTTCAACTCTAGATTCAAGATGCCCAAAAAGTAAGGCATATATTGAAGTACAGTGTAACTTACAAAATAGTAAAATATAACTCACCTAGAAACTGAAATATACACTATTCCTTACTTACTATCTAAGAACTGCCTCCAAAAAAAGTCCAAGTGCTAATAATGCCTTTGATAGTTTTGATGCAGTAAGAGTTGTTAATACATATATGAAATATGGGTAGCTGGTAATCAGGCTGAAAGAGATCCAATATGAAATTCATGATCTTTTTAGTAACACCTTGAATCTAACAATTGCACTTTATGGCTGAATATTATGTATGTGTGCCCATGTGTTTTGTTTTAGTTAAAGTATGATCATCAAAAAAGGAAATGAAGATGAAAATGTAGTGTTATTTTAATTTATCTAATACATTATTTAATAAAACCAGTTCATTTCTACACAGGTATGACATCAAAGATGATTACACACTGAGAATTAAAAAGGCCATGAGTACAGATGAAGGCACCTATATGTGTATTGCTGAGAATCGGGTTGGAAAAGTAGAAGCCTCTGCTTCTCTCACAGTCCGAGGTAAGAAGCTTAAGATGTGAAATACAATTGAATCAACAGACTAATATTTGGTTAAATTGGTAAGTGAACTCACAGTCAGAACAATAGCTTACACTCCTTTATCATTATTATTATTATTATTAAGATGCCTAGATTTTGTGTCCTTTCTATTATTAATTGAAATAAAATTGCTTTCAAGTTTGGGTTCAGAGGGATGATTATTTGAGGGAATTGTTTTTTTATTTAATAAATAATAGCTGAGATGGTTTAAAAGTAAATCTTAAGAATAGAAAAGATTTATACCAATCTTTTATGTACCCACGGTTTTGAAGTATTTACTTCTTTTAAATGTCACAATTTTAGAGGTACTCTGCTTTCTGTTTACTAGCTCATCAGTTTATACCAGGAGAGTACTAGTTTGAAATCCTTTTCTATTTCAGCATCCAAAAAGCCACAATAAAAAATAAATAAATAAAACCAACACCGCTTCCGAAGTGAAAAATGGATACAAATGAGCTCCCACAATGAGAAAATCTGATTTAGAGAGTGACTTGTGAAGTTCATTGGCCTTAAATAATTGAAATCCTCAGTGTCGCTCCTGTAATACCTTTCACTTTCTGGGTGTCATGCACTTTTTCATTCATGGAATAACGTTCATTTATAGACTCCCTGGAATTGCTTGTAAGTGAAAGAAAGCATTACTTAACCCCCACAGTGAGGTAGAATGAATTAACGGACTTCCTCGTGGTGAGCGTTGATCCACATGAGTAAATCATAGAGTCCGGGGTACCAAGGGGTACCGTGTGGACATCCATACTTATTCTCACCAAATAGGCATCACCCATGGCATCATTTACACTCACAGAACGTCAGACAGATAGGCGACCACATCCTCTGCTCAGTCTTCCTACCTGTCTTCCAGCACCTTAACCGATGCCTCCTCTCGTCATCATTTGTGAGAAGGTCAGCTGCAGGCTCTCACCCTGTCTCAGTCACATTCCACCCTGTGTAATCCCACCTCCTACCCTTGTGCAGCTTTACTCCCAGTAGTTTTCATATGATTGGCAAAAAGGTTTGGAGGAATTGCATGGGTGAGAAATGTGTCAGGGATTCTCCTGTTGGTCCTCCATGAGGGCCATCATTTTTTTCTGATCTATGATTTTAACACCAAATTATAGAACAAAAAACCAAAAAACAAAACCTGTCTTTCCCCAGGTAACTCTTAGGAGACACGCACTTTGGACAACTTGGAAAATATTGATGATTCCACACTTCTCAATCGCTCTACTTTTATTCCACCAAATCCTTTTTTTTTCTCCATCCGGACATTCTAGCGTGAATTTAGATACAAAACAAATTTAGACAAAATCGGCATGCTAGTTGCTTACAAACATCTTCATTCCTCATGAATTAACAGATCATCAAAAGCTGTCATCATATACCAATCAAATACACAGACTGATTATATAGTATCAAAATCCGATAGCCTTTGTAAACCACATTACTACATTGAATCTATATTCTCTGTAGGTGATTATATATTTGTATGTATTCATTTACTAGGCAACCCTTTAGGAAAACAATTCACCTGACCAAATTTTCCCCAAAGCTTGTTTATTTGTTGTTTCTGAAGCGAGTGGGGGAAAAAAAAAAACAACCCAAGAAATGTTCCATTTAAAAAATATTTGCTGACTAAACAAATGGTGAGAAAAATGTGAGGAGTTGTTTGTTTATAGAAGCAGCAGGGTTCTTTTTATACTTGAATGCTTGGATGAATGAGACATGAAGTGGTCTGTTTGCTTTGAGATATTTCCCAGCTAATTGTTTTCATAATTTGTTGAAAGTTGCAGGTTTAACATTTCATTTAACAAAGCATGCTCCTCTCACATGGATGTTTCTAGCTAACATAAAAAACTAATAGAGTTTTTTTTTATTTTTAATAGGATTTTTTTTAAATCGCAAACCTTAAATGGTCTCTCCCCTAATCTGTGTCCTGTAGATGGATTAGAGAGTTTAATCTGTGTGGTATGTATTTATTACTCATCTAAGACTGAAACCTCAAAAATAGGGTTAAAGAAAAAGAAAATCTCCATGATACAATAGAATGTGGAGTAAAATATTTTTTAAAAATATTTTTATCATTAGGAAAAGCAGTTGGAACTTCTCATGCTAAGAGGTTAACAGGAGAAAAAGCATATTATCTATGACTTATTTTTTTTCTGTGCTCATTTTTCTGTGCACATACGTGAAATGTTTAGCCCTTCCCTGGATTGTTTTATTAAAACAGGGTCAACTGACCAAGAGGCCACATCCATTTTCATCCATTTAATGCAGGGACACAGTTTAGTTTAATTTGCTGATTTTGAAAACATCCACCAGCTAGTTTTTTTTTTCCGGATAAAATGTTGCTATGTAACAGAAACGAGAAGTTTAATTGGTAAGTTTCTGCTAAAATTTTATCGTGAAGTCCAGTTGGGGAAAAGGAAAAGGACTTTTATAGTCAAAATCTGGCACAGAGATTTACTTAGTTGTTTTCTACTTTAAAATAAGGTGAAAATATGTTATAAAATTAAAATTAACAGCAAGTAGCTCCCTTTGCTGACTTGACAAACATAAAATTAGAAAGAAATAATGCTAGACAATAGCCGACCTCCTAGCATTTATATTCTAGTCAACTAATTGATGATCTAATGGAGCATTTTTAAATGGGTCCAAAATGAGTTAACACAAACTGCCTATTTGTAAACACATTTTTCCCATTTTCAGTTGTTCAAATTGGCTTTGCATAAATTAAGACTTTATTGGAAAAAACGATCTTGCTTTTAGGGCAATAAAACCTTTTTTTTTCTTTTAAATAAAATTACTCTACACTAAGTGAAATAGAAATATATTTTATATTTTTAAGCCCAATTTTTCGCCATGGTTTCTTCTTTTTCTCTCTTTAATATCAATAGATTCAAAATGCCTTTTGGTTTCTAAATGAAGCATTATGTTGGGGATTCAGCCTGAGAGGGCACCTGAAAAATGCAAATTCAAAACCAAAAGGAAAAGTTCTTTTTCTACCGGACGCTAACAAAATTAAGAGATACATCTTTCGAAGGAGGCACAACTTTATGATGTTAGTCTGTTGTCTTGTTCTTGGTTGTTATTTTTGTGCACACCTGCCCCTAAGAAAGAAATTGTGGATTGGGCAACTTTCTGATTTTCTTCCTCTTGCTATGGCAAACACCTCATAGGCTGTGGGATGCACTAGAGGGTCACTGAGCTAGAATTTGCATCCTGCTGCTATGATTGCTTTATTCTTCTTTGAATCATCTGAATTTCCCCCTTTTCATTGTAAATAATAGTATAAGACCATGAACCTCCTACAGAGGCAACTCCTTATTGTTTCAGAGAATGCACAAAGCTAGTATCATGATGTATCGGTTGAGTGAATGGATGCCTATAATTATGGTTTCAGTGGCTATATCTATCTCATTGCGTCCAATGAGGCATCATGAAGACAAAACTACCCTAAATTCTAGAGTTATGTTATATGCACACTAGAGCTTTATCCACGGGGACGTGGGCAAAACACTTGTTTGTTGTGTAAGTTTATATTTTGAATATAAGAGTTCATAATAATTCAAATGCTATTAAATGTATTTCCTCTTCACTTGAATAATGGCACCATATGTTTTATATTTGTCCATTGCTTTTATATTAAGTGGTTTACTATCTAAATTGATTTGGCTTTATTCTCTTTAAAGAAAGTATTATTGAGCCCATGTGTGTCTCTCACAATTGCTGTGCATAATAACAGGGCCAGCCTGATTTTAATGATTGAGTTATGGTATAATAAAAAATATGATAATAATTTGTTGAAGCAGCAGTTTGAAAGCCATTCTCAGTGTGAAAAAGGATCAACTTGTCACTCATTGTTTCCTGCCCTCTGCCAAAAAAAAAAAAAAAAAAAAAGGAAAGAGAAAGAAAACACAAAAGAAAAAGAAAGAAAAGAAAAAAAAAAAGAAAAGAAGCTTAACAGTAGTTAGGGAGCTACTCAGTTGAAATCTCTAAGGATGTTCCAACATATTTGTTATATTTTCATCCACCCTGTCCACGGATGAAAAGTGATGTGATCTTAACTTATTACTGGCTGAAAAGCAGCGTCAGGGGCTTTTCCATAGTCCTTGTAATGGTTCTGACTAACCATGCTTAAAATCCAATTGCTATTTAAATCAGACAGTGAGGCTTTCTTTTATTGACATGACATTTGCCAGTCTGTGACTTGAATAGTTATATTCATCAGGTTCTTAACTTTGGGGTGATACAGGGTATTTAAAAAGTTCTTTGAAATAAGAACTATAGTAAGTGATGACAATATGACTTTACATAAACTATCTCTCAATTCACAAAGAGCTAATTCTGGAATGAAAATAATTATTTTCTTAGAATTATAACTTTCAGTTTTAGTCAAACTCAGACATCCTGTTCATACTTGAATTTTAAGACTAGAGATCACTCTACTGTCCATACTTAAATGTTAACATTACACATCATGCATTCTGATAATTTTCTTTTCTTTTCTTTTTTTTTTAAATTTCTTCTTTATGTTCTCACCACACCATTGTAATGTCTACAGCTCGCCCTGTTGGTAAGTAGCCATCCTTCTATCCATTTAGCATGGCTTTGTACAATGCTTCATAACTCATGCATAGTAGGATTTGATAGCATGAAATATATTTATTTATTCATCCATGTTAAAATATTACGGGACGATCTTCCATGAAAGTTGCTCCGGATCTTTTCATCACTTTGATAAGCCATTTTGTAGTGACCTACGAGGGTAAGAATGAATAGGTAATGATTTTCATGGAAAATAATATGTGAATGTTTAAAACTAGAAACTGCTAACCTTTCTTAAAGATGTAAACATAATAATTCCTTTTTTCTTGTATATATAAAATAATCATTTAATAGTTATGCTTGATATTCATTAAGATAAATGATTAGGAACTAAATTAAAAGGTTTGAATACTTGATGCACTTCTTTGATTTTTAAACTGCTTCAAGTCCTTGCTTTGTAATGGCATTTTTAACTGCTGTATACTTATTATCTGTTTTCCTATTTAAACAAAATTTGGTAGAATGCTTCCAGTTGTTCTAAGTAGATGCTTACACTAAGAAGAAAAGAGAAGGATGAGTTGTGTTCTCTGGCATGAAAAGTTGGTGTGGTTTTAACATTTCTCATCCTTCACTGACTGTACAAAATTGAAGTTAACAGTTTGCATTTGCAGTAATTTAAGTGGTAATTATTTGTAAACATTTGGAAAGTCAGACCTTATCAAATTCACTGATTTTATAACCTTTCTGCATCTCTTTTAAAGTTTAGCCTAACCGACCAACAAATGTGTTTCAATAAAATAAGTCTTGGTAATTGTGTTATAAGTAAATGAACAGATGGATGCATAAATGGATGGATGGATGGATGGATGGACAGATGGATGGATGAATGAATGAATTTACTATAGTGCTTTTTTAATATATCAAAAGATACTTGAATAAGTTATTTGATTTGACACAAGGTTTATAAATGGTCCATCTAACCTCCAAAGCCCTCTTAATACACTGACTTGACGTTGACATTTGATATATGTTGGTCCACTCGTGACATTTTTTTTTCCATTAGTTGAAACATTTACGAACCTTATTGTTATGTAGTATATTCTTGCATAGATAGCAAATACAGAAAATTAGAACTTTGGTTTCCCAATCTGAGTTTCTGGTCTGCTCTTTCTGAGTAGTACTTCTTTTGATAATTGTTTAATATCCCTGATCCTAGGTCACTTCCTCTGTAAAATGGAGAGAGTCGTATCGACTTATCAAAGCTGTTGCAGGAATGAAATAAGCTCCAGATTGCTTATATATGCGAAAACGCCTTGTATGTCAACATGGGTTAACATATTTTTAATTTCTGAGACATATGTTATTTTGTATTTTTATATTTTTGAAACACAGTTATGGCGTACAATTAATTTGAATGCAAAATACAGTGATTTTTTTTCTTTAAACACAATTATTAAATTGATCATGCTTTTTACAGTTGGGGATGTTAGGAAATAGTGGAATAGGTTACATTTTAAGCCTTATTTTTTAGTATTTGTACAAATTCCTATTAACGATAACTTTACCTATCTATGGTATGACATCTGCAATTAAGAACTGAATGGAAAATAATAAGATAACTTTTCAAGTTAAAAGGAAAAATGACATTTAAATTGTAGATCTTTACATATAGAATCCTTATGCCAATAAACCACGACCACTTGATTTATATTATCTCACAAATTTCCAGGACAGAAAACAATATGTTCATAATTTCCAATACATTTAAAACACAGAAATAACAACAAAAAAAGATATACATTGATTAGCAAATGTGATGTACAGGGAGCTTTGAGATATACTTGTCACCTACAAGGCATTTCAAAGTTATTTCTGTTTTTATTCTTGTTTTAAATGATTTCTTAAGTTCCCATTGGACTGGAACTAAAGAATAGCTTCTTGACACATTGTATTTTATTCTGGGAAAGTCTGTCATTTCATAAATCTATCTCCAATGACTTATGACAATGTTCAGAAATATGAAGAACTATACTTTAAACTTGACAACTGCTATTAATTTTGGAAACTGAATGTTGGATATGCTTTTATTGGATCACCAAAGATGAGATGGATAATGAGGAAATTAGCTTGCTTTTTCTTTGCATAAACTTTTTACATGAGTTTTAATTCAGGAGCTATAGATATGCCAACTTTTTTTTATAAGGTCAGAAGATAGAAATCAAGTAGATCATAAATTAAGTAGTCAAACAGTAGAAAACTATATTAATATTAATATTATTAGTTGACTAAAACACAAATTTTTCAACTTTGAAGCTCTTAGCAAAGTACATTAATATTAATATTTGTTAGTAGTTTGAAATGCAAGTTTTTCAACTTTGAAGTTCTTAGCAATAACATATAGGGTATTCCACAAAGAAGAGATCACAGAAAGGGGAGAAAATCCAGCTTTCAAGTCCAGTATAGATTAGGTGAAGAAATATGTACCAAATACCTGAAATTTAGAGAAAATTCAAGGGATAATTCCTATGTAAAGCTTTTGAAAGAAAATTAGAAATATATGCAAATTCCAGAACATCTATAGTTTCAGAAGTCAATCATTACATTCCATACAGGATTAAGAAAACAATCACAACAACTTGGTAGTCCATGTGGAAAGCCCATTTAGAAGTCATTATAAATCCCCAAACTGGGAGTTTTGTCTAAATGGATAACTCTTATGACCTGCATTTGAATTAAATAATTGACAACACTATGCAATTTGCAGTTGGAATAAACACCTTCTGGTCTACTTTTGAGATTGCAGGAAAAACTCTCAACTTAGAGGATCCTCAGTGGGGGAAATATCACTGAAAGCAGACAATTACATACTTGCCAATGGAGAAAAGTGTTCTCCAGATTTCACTTGCTCATTGGCGAAGTCAACATTTCAAAAGAAGTCTTTAATGCAACTTCCATAATTTGCTTACCACAAAATTCAGACAAATGCCACTTTGATTATTAAAAGTCTGCCAGCCCTTTCTGAGACTTCAACTTTTTACTATTCTGAAGGCATTCTTTGTATGAGAAGCAAAAGTACATCCTAGGACAGCATTAACTAAGAATGCTGAAATATTCATTTATTTGGAAAACTCTTCTGATAAGTTCTGATAAGGGAACTGACAGCAGAAAATGGAATACATATCTTGCTTCCTATACCCATCTGTCTTATTTTCTCTTGGAAGCCCTTCCCAAGCTTAAAAATAAAAAAGAACATCTATTTTGGAGATGGGCAACACATTTTTTCCTACAGCAACTCAAAACATGATGAGTAATTGGAAGAGAACTGTCAAATCTACCAGCTGCCTTAGGAGTGAAGCTGAGCCCTGCTCCGTTTTCTATCATGTAGACCATATGCTAGATGCTAACTGCCTCCCGTATGGAAGCTAAAAGCTGTGGGCATCAGGTAAAAACTTGTTTAAAATATCACAAACAAACTGACAATACACAACTTTAGGGAATCGTCTATGTATTTCCTTAGTTAGTGACTCAAAGGTATGTTTCCTTCGGATGAAAGAATATAACTGGCCACACAAGAGTTTGTAGGTATTGAGAAATATATATGTTTGAGGCAAAATTCCCATTTTTAATTATTATTTTTAAGAAGCAGCCAGTATTCTAAACAAAAATCTATGGGGACATTGTTCTTTTCCAATCTTCTCACTGCTTAAACACAAAAATTAAACATATCCTCATTATAGAAAGTTCCGTTTTGACCTGAAGTGTAGTTTTGTTTTAAGGGGCTCTAAAACACATTATTGAGACCACCAAGGGGTCCAATAAAAAATGAATATTTGAAAAAGTCATTCAAGGCAAATTATAAAGCAGACCTTACTTACAGAGTAACACAACTGATCTTTCTGACACCACCACCCTCCCTCCCACCTTGAAAGCTGGAAAACTTTATGTGCTGTATATAATTTAACTTAATATTGGAAATATTCCAGGCTTTCTTTTTCTTAATCAGAAAACATGTAGGTATTATATATGAACCCTTTCATGTCAAGATCCACTTTTCTGCAAAAGGCGTCCTGAGTGTGTCTTGGAAGGAAACCTATAATTTTATTCCTTGCAGACTTTCTTCTTTGGACAAGCTGTTACCCCATGACCTGAGGTAATCATCTCCCTCCTACAAGCACTTAATGTTTCCTGCACCTGGTGCTAATTAGCTACCTTATGCAGAGTCCCATTTAATTTTTATTAAGCATCATGTTTTTCATTGCTCCATATGTTTTGATTAAATAGTAGCTTAAAAAAATGCATTCTGTTTTGTCTTGTACGTTCCAACAGAGTTTCCATAATGTGAAACATTTAAAATATCTTAAGCTAATGCTAATTCTTAAAGTGAAGAACAAGTATGGGCTACTTCTCAAGCTTGCCTGGTTTTAGTCACTGACTTGATTCTTCTGCAAGGATCTGTGTGTTCAACAATGTCTGTGCACTGCCTCTAAAGTAAAGGATAGGTATAAAATTCTTGAGTCGTATTTTTTTTCTCAGATCTAGGTGAAAATGTTGGATTGTTTTACTATCAGATGGTACTGTAGTGAAGTCTGAGGTTTATGGAATATTTTTATCTTAGGCTGAGATTCCCTTTAATGATTTGAAAACCAATGTAGTCCCTTCTTCTGGAACCTTTCTAGATTATATCTTGGTCCTGATCATGCTGTAACTAATATGCCCAGGACACAAGCCCCTTGAATCTGCAGATTCATGCTTGAATTTACTCTGTTTCAACAGTGTTTTCTTCTCTCTTATCTTTGACTATCTTTTTCTGTCTCCCATGAGTTATGTGGCTTTGCTTTGTCTCAATTCCGTATTTATTAACTTCTGTATAATAATTTTGAAGTATCATTTTTATTTCATATTGTCTGATTTCTTAATGCTTAAATAATCTCCCTAACTTTTTCAATTGTGAATATCATTTTTTGTTTTTGAAATATATTTTTAAAATACATTTTGTTTATTTAATTTTATTTTCTCTTTTCATCATTT